CAGCGTTTCGGGAACAATTTGGACTTAAGAGAGAGAAAATGAGAGGAGGACGGTGTAAATTACATAATGACGAAATTTATAACTTGCGTTTTCTCCGAAACATTTTCATGATGATGGACGGGGTATGTAGCATGTATGACGGATAGATGAAGGATGCATTGTTTTACGAAACTTAAACGAATAACGTGAAAAATTGGAGGCCGCTTGAGAGACTTTGGCTAACTAACTTTAGTGGAATCCAATGTAATGCTAACATCTTGCGAAAGCATACTCTCAGTTTCATTCGACGCGACTCATGTAGCGTGACAGAGGAGTATGAGGATCCTATGCACGGCAAATTAGTCTGACTGTATATGCATCTCTGTGAGCCATGCTGGATTTGATTTGACTGGACTCAGTTCGAGCAAGGTGCTCTCAGCCTCAAGCGCATATGAGAAGAGCATGTTGAAATGGAAGGGGGGGGATATGCTGTAGTGTAGTTGGTTGAGGCATTATTCCACAAGCCGGAAGGTTGCGGATCGAATTCCGATGAAGTGGATTTTTCAATTGACCTCATCCTTCCAGTCGCACTATGGCCCTGCGGCCGACTCAGCCTCTAACAGAAATGAGTACCAGGAATATTCCTGGGCTGAAATGGTGGCCGGCACGTAAGGCTGACAACCTTACCGCCATCTGTGAGCCGACTGTCTAGAAAATGTGTTTCTCGAGACGAATTACAATGCAAGAGTTTAATATAATTTTCTTCTTTTAATCAAATTCAAATGCTTCCTCCAGAACCTGGTTTGTCAGCAGACTGCTCAGTCACTTGGACATGCGGTCACGAATATCCGTGGTACTTTTACTTCCTTGTATGAGGACTATAATCACTGACCAAGGTTTCGTTTTCGCTAGACCCGTGACACTGACACAGAAAGCTGCGGAAATTTGTCCACACTCTGTCAACAACCGGGCCACCGAACTGAAGCTATCACGAAACGTCTTGCTGCCTGCAATAGCACGAGTACATACTTGCTAAATCTCTCATTATCGCCTCTGTGACTCAACAATATACATTCTGTAGCGTGCAGTTCAAGAAACAGAAGTTCGAACAGGTTATCAACAAGGTACCGGGAGAGGATGTAAGGTCAACACACAGCCTGAAACAGAGACTTGATTAGTATGCCTGAGCACACCTGCTCAGATATTTGCACATCTGTGAGTCAACAGCGGCCACAGGACCTCCAGTGCGGGATGATCTACTTTCACTAATCAGGTCGGCCTCTTGTCTTGGTTCCCTAACCAGTGCTGCCGCCAAACAATGGAACGCTGTACATTGTAAAGAAGACATGGGGAGGCCACAAGACATCTCTCTCGCTCTTGCCACCACTTGCCAAGTGACATATAATTTGAGTAGCTAAAAATCCAATTAACATAATGACAGACACACAGCGGAATGTCTAATTAAATAAATAACCGGCTGATTAATAATCTGAGTCATGTACTGGTTGAGTAACTTGAGAACAAAGTGTCATATTCACCAGTGAAGCGGTTGGCTTCGTGACTTAGTAACAGACTAATTTATTCACTGAAAAATGGGCCTACAGACTGATAATATTGTGACGTGTTGCGCAACGTAGCCATGTAATATCCTCCCCATTTCATCTCCCTTGCGTAAAATTGCTTTCCTGGATACTCCATTTTAAAATATAATTCATGATTTTCTCTCCGAGTATGAGACCATATTACAAACACGCAAAAGAAACTGGTAAAATGATTTTTTCTCCTTATTTTTATTACAAGAATGTAATTTAGCCCACAGGTTAGCGTGCCGGATCCATGGTAAGATAAATCGCACGATCAAATTTAAGTTCACTCATCCACCTTCACGGGCTCATAGTCATCTCTGTAACGCCTCTTGTTTTCCTTTTTTGTATTTAACCCCATAGGATTGCAGATCCAATCTATCTTCACACGTTCTAATTACGAGGGAGGGTCAGTAAATAGACCACAGCTGAAAGTAAAAGAACTGTAATGGATGTAATGCCGGTCACGGTAGCCCAGCGGTCTAAGGCATGCACTGTCTTCGCTCGCTCGGAAGCCGGGATCGTGGGTTCGGATCTGTTTCCTGTGAGGTACGAACTGAATTCTTATATATAGTTCTTATACATTGCCGGTCACGGTAGCCGAGCGGTCTAAGGCATGTACCCTCTTCGCTCGCTCGGAAGCCGGGATCGTGGGTTCGGATCTGTTTCCTGTGAGGTACGAACTGAATTCTTATATATAGTTCTTATAAATTGCCGGTCACGGTAGCCGAGCGGTCTAAGGCATGTACCCTCTTCGCTCGCTCGGAAGCCGGGATCGTGGGTTCGGATCTGTTTCCTGTGAGGTACGAACTGAATTCTTATATATAGTTCTTATAAATTGCCGGTCACGGTAGCCGAGCGGTCTAAGGCATGTACCCTCTTCGCTCGCTCGGAAGCCGGGATCGTGGGTTCGGATCTGTTTCCTGTGAGGTACGAACTGAATTCTTATATATAGTTCTTATAAATTGCCGGTCACGGTAGCCGAGCGGTCTAAGGCATGTACCCTCTTCGCTCGCTCGGAAGCCGGGATCGTGGGTTCGGATCTGTTTCCTGTGAGGTACGAACTGAATTCTTATATATAGTTCTTATACATTGCCGGTCACGGTAGCCGAGCGGTCTAAGGCATGTACCCTCTTCGCTCGCTCGGAAGCCGGGATCATGGGTTCGAATCCCACTCAGGGCATGGGTTTAGTTTGTGTGTGTGCGTTTTTCTGTGTTTGTGTACAGGTAGAGGCCTTGCGACGAGCTGATCACCCGCCCAAGGAGTCCTACCGAATGTGTAAGATCTAGAGAAACCGAAGTGAACGGAGAAGTTCATGGAGGTAGGCCTAGGCCCACTGGGGCTGTAGTGCCAAGGAAAAAAATGGACGTAATAGGTTTTCTATGTGTATCACTTGGTGGCAGCATAGGCCAGATTCATGACAGGCCATGTAACAGACGCGCATGCGAAAGATTAGAGGCTGGTTTCAGTTTTCAAAATGACGACAGTGCTTGAGTGTAATACCGAAGAGCAGCCTTCTCTTGTGCGTTTTTTGTGTGCAGAAGCACTCAGTGCAAAGGATATTAATAAAGAAATGTTTTATGGTGGGAAGTGTTTGTCGCTTAAAGCGTTCACAACTGGATGGCAAACGTTTTGCTGATGACGAAGAGGTTAAGCAGAGGTGCAGAAGTATCTGAGACGACTATCAGAAGACTTCTATGCTGCGGGTTTCGACGCATTGGTAAAGCGATGGGACAAGTGTATACAATGTTTGTGGAGGATACGTCGAGAAATAAATATTTTTTTCCAGGTTGGAATATCATATTTTTTACGATTTGTATCAGCTAGTGACCTATTTACTGACTTCGTACATGGTCTTTCCATCTCTCTCGCAATGTAGGAGCTTAACCTCTTCAGATATTTATTACTAGGTTTTACATGTGCGTCAGTATTCCTTTTCTGCCACAGCCGTGCGCGGATGGTTCTTACTACCTCAATTCTTGTGCTTCGTTTCCCTCGTTTTTTTTTCCTCCGTCATCTCTTGTTTATGTCTCACTGCCGTATTTTAGAACTGCTTTATCAAACATTTCCGTATAATTTCAAATAAGTATTTTTTTCACTCAGTTATTTTTTCACTGAAGATTCTCTAAATTATCCACTTCTGTGTACGATATCTCATTGTGTTCAGTTGAAGAACAAGTAAACATTCGAATTTAGATACTGCGCTGTTAATTGCTTAATTTCCCGCCATAGATCAGCCTATTAGACGCTGATTTCTTTTCGTGGGGCCTCGGGGTCCATCCCGAGTTACGTTACGCGACATTCATTACGGATGAAGTAGCACTGGAGCAGTTGCTTCGATTTTCCCACGATAATCGTCTTTCCGCCATTGCTCTATACCCACTTACAACAGCCTCCTGAGTGGTGCTAAATCGCTGGCCTTGCAATGCATAATTACACCCTCGGAATTTGGTTTAGGGGCCTAGACACGTTGTCTGGCTGTCTGCAGGGCAAGGACGTTATAATTCTGCCAAGAGCATTATCATCTGCGATATGCCGCCGTGTAGTTCTGTAGAAGTTCATTGACGTTGCGGAAGAATAGCTCGCCTTCTTCAAACTCTAGGGGAAAACCGAGCAAATAGCAAGTTGAAGCTCGCAGTGAAATTCTGTGGAACTTCACGGCGTCACAACCAAGGAGGCAATATTCTTCATAGAACTCCACTGTGAGAATATCATATCCAACTTTTATTTCTTTGAAGAATTCTGTTTTCTGGGATGGTGCCGTGCAGTTCTTGTGTGAGCCGACGTTTCGGATGAATGTATCGCCTCCATCTTCAAGGCAAAAAATCCGTGAGCGATGAACCAGCGTGAGCAGGTGGCTGAGTCTTCTAACAGGTTTCTACAAGACCATGTCTAAGTTTCTTTCACGTCTCCTGATATTTAGGCACAATTTGAGGACCTAAATGATCTCTATTGCGTTGGACTTTATTTTGAATTTTTGGGATTTTGATAAAACTTTTGTATGACACTTCTGTAGTAGGCCTGTCCACTGTATTAATAAGATTGTTCTCCACAGAAATCGCTTCCCGACGGCCTGCTCTTTCCGTGCTGCGCAACTGTTTGTTCTCTCGAACTAAAACGCATTGCATGTAGACCTACCTAGACAGGACAGCAGACTGACGCTATGAGTAATGAAATGCTACACCACATGAGCTTTTGTCCATTGTTGTTAGGAGTGTAAATGGAAATTGTAAAGGTACCGAGGAAACAGAAATAAGTTAATGATTTTTTTCTAAATCAAACTCAGTGGACAAAGGGTTCATAAATTCTGTTGTACTGGGCTCAGTAGTTTAACAGAATATCTTTCTGTGTTTAAGTCTAGCAGCTTAACCGCGTGGGGTTTGGAACGCTCTGCAATGCACAAACGGCATGATGCGCTGTTGTTTGTTTTGTTCCAGTTTAACTTCGTGGGGAAGCTGTTGGGGCCCAAAGGCAACTCCCTAAAGAGACTGCAGGAGGACACAATGACGAAAATGGCGATTCTGGGCAGAGGCTCCATGAGGGACAAGCACAAGGTGAGGTGTAGCAGCGCGATATGGTGATAAGCTCATCAGTTCTTTCTCCTTTCTTCTTCTACCTTATACGAGAGTAAAGTTTCGGTGACTTTTACGTTTCATATGCATTAATGTTCATTTAAAGTATTTCAGATTTAAATTCGTCACTTGAAAATGGTAGCTGCTCCCAAGATATGCTACAGACCACAGATTCGCAAATGGTGGCTATTTAATTTCATTTTAAAATTTATGTTTTAGTTCCTAATGAAACGCCATATGTCAGTCCTGCCTTAACGATGGATCCTTTCGAGAATATAATGTAACAGCTAAAGCAAATGAAAATTGTATTGGGCAGATGAATGCTGAAAGTGGCAGGCAAATTTGGGCGGAAATGTGGTTCATTAGTTGGCCTAGTACGAAATGTTTTTCTTGCCATATATTTATTCCATGCCACGTCACGTATGCTAAATTATAGCTTTCATTTGAAAAAGAACTCTGTTATGAACATCTAACGAAGTAAGTCGTAATTAATTTTGTAACTAAATTAAAAAAAACTGAGTTTTCAGTGCAGTGTTTCATGTCAAACACGGGTTTTTTTATTATTTTTTTTTAAATTCGCTTTGTGGGGCATAGAGTCCAACTGGGTCCACTCGGCACGGCGGCCACTGATTGGCCTATTGTAGCCTGCCCCTGGTGATAATGACGATGGAGAATTTTGGTGGAATGAAGATTGCAAGGGCCTTGGGACGAGCTGATCACCCGCCCAAGGAGTCCTACCGAATGTGTAAGATCTAGAAAAACCGAAGTGAACGGAGAAGTTCATGGAGGTAGGCCTAGGCCCACTGGGGCTGTAGTGCCAAGGAAAAAAGAAGAAGAAGAAGGAGAAGAAGAAGATTGGCAAGGGAAACCGAAGTACTCGGAGAAAACCTGCCCCAGCGCCACTTTGTCCACCACAAATCCCACTTGACCAGAACCGGGATTGAATTCGGGCCGCCGGCTTGATGTCCCTGCTCTTGCGTTAGCCCTGTGCAGTCAATGCGAACGTGATATATACTCTATATATGCTTGTGTCTGAGACTTCGATCTTCCTTGCAGGAGGAGGAACTGCGCGCCTCTGGCGACCCCAAGTACGCCCACTTCAACGATGACTTGCACGTAGAGATCACGGCCTTTGCGCCCCCAGCAGAGGCCCACGCAAGGATCGCGTACGCGCTGGCGGAAGTACGCAAGTTCCTTGTGCCGGTACGTGACGTACATAACGTGTCGCGCTGATCTTTGGGTAATTTAACTACGCTCTTTCAATTGCAGAGGTTGTGTGAGTCAAATGAGACCGGAAGATGGAAGTATGGGCCAGTAGGAAGGGAACCATACCTTGTCTGATGGTACTACCTTGGAATTCATGTGGATTGTGTGTTTGTTGTTTACTTTACGACGGTTCTCGATGGTTGATGTATTAGAAAGGGTCTGGAAGGAAGCGGTCGAGGCCTAATCGAAGTACTACACCGGAATTTGCTTACAGGGACAGAGGAAATGCACGAAAATTTTCAGTCGTAAGGGCGGTGATGCAACTGAGATTCGAACCAAGCGGTAACCCTGGACACTTGTATTTCAGAATGCAAGTCTAGACCGATACCGACACACCAATCTATTCGGTAATTCTCCCGGAGAGACTGGTGAAAATTACGAAAAATTTTCCATGTTAACGAGTAGCCGTGCCGAGATTTTAACCCGGTATGACCAAAATACAAGTCTAGAGTATAAGTATACAGTATCTATGGTATAATAATAAAAATAAAATTCAATTCAGGTATTTATTATTTATGTGCCGATTCAACAGCTACAAATCAAATTACAGACACAGCACAGTGTAGATAAAAGTAATTACATACTGGACATACACAACATAAATAATAATAATACCACAGTCAATAAGTTCGTGGAATGGCCGCAAAGCGTCGTAAGGGAATTTACTGCCAATATGTTCCAGCAATGTTTTCGACAGCTATATCAACGTTGGAAGGCTTGCATAGCGGCTAACGGCAACTATTCTGAGGGCCAATGTGGATCTGTGTAGGTGTATGTGAATACCTTGTAATATGATGCGATAAAACCACATTCCACGAACTTAATGACTCTACCACGGATATCCACAGACACAGCGTGGAAAACCTACAGTCAATGGTACGTATGTAAGAAAACTGACAGTAGCACTGCGTACATCAGCATCCTTACGAATGCACACATAGCATGCATAAAACCCACGCCGCAAGGTGTAAGCAGCGCGAATAATTCCAACAAAGCGAAATTATTATTATTATTATTATTATTATTATTATTATTGCTCTACAGCCCTTTATTAGGCTCTGAGCCATTTTTTTTTTAGTTTGGACGGGGGTTCAGCCTGTCGCAAGGCCCCCTACCTACATACAGATCAAACTCACACAATACAGCTGTCTATGCCTTGAGTGGGATTCGAGTCAACGATCCCAGTGTTCGAGCCGGCGAAGACGGTTCATGCCTTAGACCACGCGGCCACTGTGATCGGCCAAAACGAGAAATACTCAATCGAATATCTTTAAACGGATGGATGACGACCAATGGAAAACATTCTGGTGTCAATTAATTTTAATGAAGATTAATTTGTTTTAATTATGAAATATCGCGCTCACACGCGATACGTAATTTTGACACACAGTGCAACTATTTCAGCAAGATAAACAACACCTGATGATGGCCTTACGCGGCCGAAACATGTAATGAGGAAGAAGGGTGACGGGATAATAAGTTGCTTTTAAGAAGAAAATGCACGTGTAAAAGCCATATAACCTATCTCATTATGCACTGACTTTGTACGCTTAACGTATACGTTTTATGCAAATTGTTGTAGCGTAGCCTGTTATCCTACCCCAACTGCTGTCAATTACTCTTTCGCCTTGGGATGTTGATACTAGGTTCCGTCAACCATTCTGGGAACCAGTACCCGCATAAAGGGGTAAAAGGGATCCTTCAAGGGGAGGACTCAGTTTTGTGGCTAAATCTTATCTCTTATTTGTAGCGTTTCTGGTTCTCTGGTATCTGGGGTTCTGGGGAATAAACTTGTAACACTGGGGTGCCACCTGTTGTCACCTGTTTATTTACACCATCTACATACTCATTTTGGGTTGAGCTAAGCTACATAAGTTCATATTTATCTAGCCTCAGTTCCTTGTCTCATAAGCATCTCTCAGGTTGCCAGCAATAAGACGTAAATTCACTTACTTTGGTTTCAGAAGAGTTAGACGACGACGTGCCACGTTTTGTAGCCCACGGTCATTTTGGCCTGGTTTTCCGTAAGCTGTGCGGCAATTAGCACGTCGGTAGGCGATCCTACATAGCCTCCTCTAGGAAGTGTTAAAGTTTTGGTAATCAACTGCTTATAGTCACCGACATAATGGGATATATAATAGAAAATTCTTGCGAGTCAGCAAACTTCATGCCCTCGATAAACTGTAATAATTACTACGCCTGTTGCAACCACTGGTTCAGCATTTCCAAGCGAGACTTGCCGCCTGTTGGGCAAGCATTACGAACTTTCTCGGTTGCGATAGTTCGACGGGGCGCCTTTGAGCTCCTGGGTTTCAAATCTCACTTCGTTAAGCCATAAGGCATAACAAAAAAATACACGCTCTAAAATAAGCTTACAGCTGCTCGTCTACTATTCGCATGTCTGTATAACCATGGCTGTGTCTCGGTTGCTGCATTTCTGCGGAAAGGGAGCGCCACATACAGGTCTGGTTCGTAATTAAAGTGGAACAGACGTAATGAGATCAATTCCACCCGTAAAGCACCTTAAACCGTTGTTTCTGCGGGCGAGTTATCTCGTAAAAAAGCACCGACTTACTCCACTCCGTATAGCTTCTGTTTTTGACGATTTAAATTAAAGTTCTTCTGCTTCCCCATGCAAAGTAAATTACAAGTTACTGTATAAATAGAGTTTTTTTATTAAATTCAATGTTGAATTCAATGCGATTTTACAGGATTACAACGACGAAATCCGCCAGGAGCAAATGCGGGAGATGCAGTTACTCAACACAACAGTGCTGGGCCTCACCTCTTCTTCAGGGAACCTGGTGGAGCCATCTTCCCCCACTGCTCAAAGTCCCACCACTTCTCCCCCTCCCACATCTACAGGCAAGACCAGCAACACCAACAATACCGGCAACAGCAATCAAAATGGTCGCCATTTGCAAGCCTTACCATACACTCAACAAAATGGACGGAATTATCTCTTCAGTCAGCATTTCCTCCTACATCCAGCATTCCGCGGGTTAACAGCTCGGACACAGCTGCCCGGAGTGACGTCAGGTAAATTACACGTTGGCTTCGTTAGACCCGAGGCATAAAATATCTCTTTAAAGAACGTAAATTAAGTGTAACGACCCAGTCATACAGATTGCTCTGTGTTGCGTGTTATCTTTACAAATAGCAGACACAGTATGCTATTGTGGTTTTATTTGAACTCTTCCTTTGCCATGCACGAGATATCTAGCTTTTTTTCTAATTCGCTTAGTGGGATGTGGAGTCCAACTGGGTCCACTCGGCACGGCGGCTACTGAGTGGCCTATTGTAGCCGGCTCCGGGTGATTATGATGATGGAGAGTTGGGTGGAATGAAGATTGGCAGGGGAAACCGAAGTACTCGGAGAAAACCCGCCCCAGCGCCACTTTGTCCACCACAAATCCCACTTGACCAGACCCGGGATTGAACCCGGGCCGCCGCGATGGAAGCCAGCGACGAACCGCTTGAGCTATGGCGCGGCCTTAGATATCTAGCTTAATAGCACCGGTCCTTCTTATTTGGATTTATTTGGTGTCTGAGATCAGTGAAACAAACCCTTCTTACGAGCTGAGCAGATGTTTAAATCTAACAATATTTGACTCATAAGAATATAAATTACAGAAAATGTTAGTTGAGTGGGTGTTACTCCTGTTCGGTATTCGCGGGGTCAATGGTTCAGATCTCAACACGGAAACCGGCTGTCGTGTGTGAGGTTTTTCATGGGTTTTCCCCATTCCCTCCAGGCAAACGCCGGCGTAGGCCTTCCAATTAGTCACAACAACTTCTGCCCACACTATTTGAAAGCATCCTCCTGCCAGTCGAATCTGTATACTGTACACAGAGCTTCTGACAGCGTCGATAATCAAAACCATTAATAAATAAAAAGTATAAATGTTGTTACCCTGGGAGCACTCATATGCAGAAGAGAGTTTTAAAATAATAAAGCATTGCGAAACGAATAAAGAGGGGGTAACTATACAAGCAAACAGTATTCCTGTATTTTTAAGGATTGATTCCTGTTGTGTATATACAATGGACATATATAATTTTTACCGTCAACGCAATAATACTTTATTATTTATTTATTTATATAGCACGCACTAAATGTTTCGTCCTCAAATTGTTCATTTTCAGGTGCTGCAATTTTCTCACATACTATTAACGAACTACAACGCTAAAATTCCCATTGTTATAAATGGTTCTTACAAGATGGTTTCTATTCAGTTTCCAAACTAGACGAAACTTAAAGTAAACTTTGATTAAAGTTAACAATAAAATACAACGAAATAAGAATAAAAATTAAAAATAAAAATAGTACATATGATAAAGTCGTATACATAACAGTAGGTTGAACCTAATTTAATAATCAGGTGATCGCAAATCCAGAATTCGATATTTAAAATGTATTTAAAAATGATTTTCAAAATGTTATAAGCTGTGAGTAGCTTCATGTTTGTTACTGCAGTGGACCACGCACAGGCTTCGTCAAATTTGTTCTGTTTGCTGCATTGGATCGCCATGTTAGTATCGTAATGTTACAGTTTTCCTAGAGAATACAGCCCTCTTGCCTTATGCTATCGGGAGCCAATGGTTAATTTGTGCTGTTAATATAATGCGGTTCATTGGCTGCGCGGTTCATAATACAGAGTACTACAGTAAGCTACATAATACACGAATAGAAATTTCTGCAGGAAAGATGAGATGTTTTTTCTATAAGTTTATTAGATATAAAATTGCTGGCTACATACCAAACGGTACCGCTTCACTGTATGGTATGTGGTGAGATACTTGTTGGGGGAGCCTGACTTTCCTGGACAAGTGTCACTATAAAACGGCGTTTCTCGTTCATTTCCTTTCACGTTTCCTTTGGGAACAACTGCGCAGTCCTTTGCTACTTTCCCACCACGTGCCTGAATCGGGTGCAGTTTGCCATTCAGACCGTCTTCTACGTCTGTTTAACTTGGTCTTCCTCTTTTTCGGGCCATCTTGTTTCAAATGTTTCCGACCAATACTGCAATCACTTTTCTAAAGAACTCCAGGTGAGACAAAGTTGAAAGTTTTACTGACTGCCGCTTTATAATGTAAGAGGTTGTTTTACTTTCATGTCTGTTAGTTTCAGCGGCTATTTCTGCAAACAAAGTGTCACTAGAAAGTGGCACAAAAATTCGTGTGTAGAAACAGGCTTTTGTCTATTTCGAGGTGGTTTATAATGAGATGAGGCAAGAAATGATATCATATAAAAATCATGGTTATTTTCGTCCCACAAAGCCCAATATTCATTATCATCGTCTGTGTCGTTGCGACTACCACAACCACCAGCATCGTTACCTCTTACACTTGCAATTACCTGATCGTCATCAGAATTACTACACCTGTCACTCAAATCAGGCCCGCTTATTTCGGCATCAGGTTCAGTATGATGAACTACGTATATCAGTAAGTTCACTGAAAGAATCAGAGTCATAATGCAATTGTTCATTGATCTGTTTGCTCTCCAATGCACACCCACAGGAAGATGCCATTGTGATATAACTACAGACAGAAATATATGCAGGCTCTTCGAAAAATCTAATATAAAACCCACAAAGCAATAGAACGAAACATTTGTTAACAACACTGCAGAGAGGAAGGCTTGTGTGATACAACTGATCACTGTTTGCCTCCCTCAAGAATTACTGATGAAGCAATTGGCGGACTCAGTCCGGCATAGGACCGGAAAGTGAAATTTAATGCGGCAGACTCATTCCCATATCGGACCAGAAAAAGTTAAAACTAGAATATCATGCGTTTCGAGGTCAGTGTATTTCTCTCTATATTTTCTATTCATTGTCCCAGTTCCGAATGATACATCAGAGTAATGGAGCAGTTGGTGGGAAAAGAATTGATAGGTGAAACAGAAGTACTCGGGAGAAAGCCTGCTCCAAAGGCAGCGCCATAGCTCAAACGGTTAGTCGCTGGCTTCCCGCCGCGGCTGTCCGGGTTCGATTCGGGGTCTGGTAAAGTGGGATTTGTGATAGACAAAGTGGTGCTGGGGCGGGTTTTCTCCGAGTACTTCAGTTTCCCCTACCAATCTTCATTCCACCAAATTCTCTATCATCATAATCACCTGGGGCAGGCTACAGTAGGCCAATCAGTGAACGCCGTGCCGAGTGGACCCAGTTGGACTCCACTCCCCACTAAGCGAATTTAAAAAAAAGCTTGCTCCAATGCCTACATTGTACACCACAAATCCCAGATAAACAGACCTAGAATTGAACCCGTGCCGATGAGGCGAGGAGCAGGAGACTAACTTCCTGAGCTCTTATGTCGCCTAAAAACTGGTTTTGGTAGATACTTAAGCCAGTAAAAGTGATTATCATTTCATGCCGAGTTTCAGAGGTTTAATTTGTGTTACAGTTCTCCATTCTGGTGGTGGAGGCTCCATATTGAACCGTTTGCGCCCTCACTATCATCTAGCGGCAACACCAGGCATTAATACAGCAAATAACCGCCTGTCGCCTGGCTCCATCCTATCATCAACGAAACACCAACGCAACAATATTCTTTCTATTCTTGCTGGTGGACCGCGGTCTGTGATTGGTGGAGGCTTGACGGCGGTTGACTCACCGCAGTCGGGTGGAGGGAACGAACAACTTTTGGCGACCATGTGCGGTGCAACAGATGACGTGATTGTCTCTGCTGGCGATGAAGAGGAAGTGAACACTGCACCGGCTTCCGCTGTGTACGGACTGTATGAGAATTATGCGGCTGCAGCAGTTGCGGCGGCGGCTTCTGGTACAGGGTGAGTTTCGATTTTTCAGTACAAGTCTGCCTCACTGTCAGTTATTTTTTGGATCCCTCTGTGTTTTCCAGGTAGCTTACCCGAGTTCATTGACATAAACGTCTCATTCTGGGGGTGTTCGATGACAGTCTTGTACGAGAGACCGTACTGTGGCTGCAGCAGCAACCTGAACTGCAAACAGTTCAATATAATTCGCATACGCCACTTCAGATCAAATAATTTTTGGCACTGCTCGTTTACCTGCGGTACATCTATTAATAATCTTCATATTGCCAGATATTTTTTTGTTATGTAAGATATTATTGAGGAGGATAAAATGGAAGTGCATGTGGCACGAATGCGGGAGAGGAGAAATGCATATAGGATATTGGTGTGAAAGCCGGCAAGAAGGAGAACACTTGGAAGACCAAGGCGTAGGTGGGTGGACAATATTAAAATGTATCTCAGGGAGATAGAATGGGATCGTATGGATTGGATTGATCTGACTCAGGATAGGGACGAGTGGGAGGTTCTTGTGAACACGGTAATGAACCTTCGGGTTCCATAAAATGCTGGGAAGTTCTTGAATAGCTGCACAGTTGATAACTTCTCAAGAAGCGCTCAGCTCCATGAGTGAGTGAAGATGTGATGCATTCCTCCATCTTGCAATGTTGTTACTTAGCAGTTCTAAAAAGTTACTGATTCACAGAACATTAGAACAACAGAGGTTTTTTTTTTCCTGAGGACCTCTAAGGTAACCATGCTTTTCTTACAGTTCATGCATACAATGAAAATAACCTCTTCCCCTTTCGTAATCATAATCATAATCATCATCATCATCCCTCCTCCTCTTCCTCGTATCGTTTCCGCTTGATACGTGTCGATAGGCGTAAAGTTTCCCTCCTCTTCTTTGCCTTCAAAATACGTCTCTTCCAATCGTGTAAATAATGGCCTTAAAAATCTCCACCCATCGCATTTACTTATTACTTACAGTGGTCAAGTAGATTGTAAATTGATGTTAAATAAAAAAAAAATCTTATTTGCCGCCAAAATATTTTCTTATTTAAAGCGCGCTTGAAATTAAAGCCTTATTTCGTATGGTATTAAAACAGAACACACGTCGTAGTTACCCATACCACACATTCATAATGACAAATCAGGTGTAAGTCCGTGTAGAATTTTGAAATTGTCGAACATGTCCATCTTCCAAGAATTTAGGGTGTCTAGCGCATCTCTGCTTCACCATTAAACGCATCAGAAGGAAGAAATGAAAGCAAGCAGCAATATTAACCACACAAACTGCTTAGTTGCTTTTCACGAAAGACCCTGCGCTATAGGTTGAGGTTAGTTATGAATTAGCACTCATTTTGTAATAATGTGAAGGAAACTTAAAGGATCGCCATAATTAGTTTCTCTCACTTTCTAGCGCGAATTAGCGCTCTTGCAAAGGGCCCAATACGGTGATTCTGTCATGTAGTGATTACACTGCATATTTCTGCCGCCTTCGTGCTGCAACACGCATTACGCTACAAGTCGTATGGAAAAGAGAGATGACGTGACTTGAAGCCCTAATGGCGACGTTATTGAAATGAGTCCAGAGTAGCAACCTTACATCCTGGAAGCACGTGCGAATTTTGGAATGAGGAAACATGAAACTTCGTTTCACATTGAATTTCATCAGCAAGAAATTAAGTGGAGATGGCTTTGAATTTAGTGAAATTGAAGCTACAACAATTCTCAATGTGGATCATGCGTATTTAATAAATTATGTTTTATTATTCGCGAGCTAGCTATGTGAATTTGGCCGGAGTTATATTTCAGGGGAAGAGCAATCCTATTTACAGCGGCAGAACTTCGCTGGAGTGTGAAGCTGGCCACTCAACCCCCTGCACAGCCCGAAGTCTAGGATGCGTGGTTCTTACGCGCCATCATGGCTTCTGAGCCTGTATATAAATTTTACAGCGCTGTAGCTGGAACTGTGTTCACCGGTGTGAGGTACACGCCGTCAGTCTTCACTTTCATTCATTGCATATGTAAATTTACTGCTGATAGAGGAGATCAGTGGCAGAATTATTACTCTGTATGTTATACGATACAATGCCGGTCACGGTAGCCGAGCGGTCTAAGGCATGTACTGTCTTCGCTCGCACGGAAGCCGGGTTCGAGGGTTCGAATCCCACACAAGGCATGGATGTTTGGTGTGTGTATGCCTTTATTCTGTGTTTGTGTTGTCCTGTGTTTAGTTACATTAATTTGGCTGACGAGGTCTACCACCAGTTTATGCAAGCTTTGCGAATAACATACATTTACGGGTTAAAAGCTGCAAATGTTCACTTCATATTTGCAATTTTTAGTTATAGGAAGCGAAAGGTGTATAATTACAAGATCCCAAAAAAGAGATCCATTGTTTTTCTTAAGGTAATTTTAGCTTCATGACCAATTAACTTATGTTTATAAGACAAGTGCTCACACAGAACACGTAGTTCTAATATGTTCTATTAGAATGATCAAGTCAAGGATGATGAGGTGGGCAGGGAATGTAGCACGAATGGGGGAGACGAGGAATACGTATGGGATATTGGTGGGAAAGCCGGAAGGAAAGATACCACTGGGAAGACTAAGGCGTAGGTGGGTGGACAACATCAAAATGGATCTTAGAGAGAAAGGATGGGAAGATATGGATTGGATTGATCTGGCTGAGAATAGGGACCAGTGGAGGCTCTTGTGAACACAGTAATGAACCTTCAGGTTCCATAAAATGCTGGGAAATTCTTGAGTAGCTGCAGAATTGGCGGCTCCTCCAGAAGGACTCAGCTCCATGAGTAAGTAACTAATTTTCCAAGTAATTTTTTTTATTGCTAGTGGGGTGGGACTAAGTCCTTTGTACTGCGGCCACTTCTGACTTATTGTATCAGCCCCAGATGATAGGTGAGGGTGTTTGTGGAGCAATTGGTGGAATGAAGATTGGCAAGGGAAACCGAAGTACTCGGAGAAAACCTGCGCCAACGCTNTTGGCGGCTCCTCCAGAAGGACTCAGCTCCATGAGTAAGTAACTAATTTTCCAAGTAATTTTTTTTATTGCTAGTGGGGTGGGACTAAGTCCTTTGTACTGCGGCCACTTCTGACTTATTGTATCAGCCCCAGATGATAGGTGAGGGTGTTTGTGGAGCAATTGGTGGAATGAAGATTGGCAAGGGAAACCGAAGTACTCGGAGAAAACCTGCGCCAACGCTACTTTGTCCACCATAAAACCCACTTGACCATACCCGGGATCGAACCCGGGCCTCCACGGTGGGAAGCCAGCGACTAACTGCTTGAGCTATGGCGCGGCCTTAAGTAAGTAAGTAAGTAAGTAAGTAAGTAGTGTTAATATCTTTCCACTCGCGGGGGTATGCGCACCCCTGTATTATATGCAACCACTGTGCAACACGTAGCAAGGGGACGGTAGGCTACTGATAGGGCACCGCCTTTCTTCTGTAAATTAAGAGCTTCCTGGATCCACTATAACAAGAAGTGATGTGAAGAACGTGTAACTTAGAGGTTACGTGTTTCGGTGCTTCAGCGTGAGTGGTGAGGATGACAAAACACGTAGCTAAATTCTTTCTAATATAGAAGTTACTTCTATGTATAATTTTCACTGGCGCAAATACAAAACGTGCTCAATTTGTAAAACCTAACCACAGAGTTTCGAACTCTACAATGTATACAAGCCTTGTCACAAAAGGAATGTTTCGTGCAGAATTTGTGGATTGGTTTTCGATTTACCTCCATACACATAGCTGCATGAGCAGCTGCAATTTTCTATCACTCACTCATTCACCCACTCACTCACTCACTCACTCACTCACTCATGGAGTTGAGCCCTTCCTGAGAAGCTGCCAATTGTGCAGCTACTCAAGTACTTTCCAGCATTTTATGGAACCCGAAGGTTCATTACCGTGTTCACAAGAACCTTCCACTGGTCCGTATTCTGAGCCAGATCAATCTAATCCATACCATCCTATCCTATAGCTTTAAAATCTATTTTAATATTGTCCACCCACCTAGGTTTTGGTCTTCCTAGTGGTCTTTTCCATCTGGCTTTCCCACCAATATCGTATATGCATTTCTCTCACCCCCTTCGTAATACGTTCCACGGTCATCTCCCTTAATGTCAGAGGCCAAGTTTCACACTCCGTACAGAACCACAGGCAAAATTATAACTTTGTATATTCTAATTTTTATGTCTTTGGACAGCAGACGAGAAGACAAAAGGTTCAGGATTGAATGGTAGCAAGCATTACCCGAGTTCAATCGCCTCTTAATTTCCTCCTGAATCAGATTTTGATTTGTTATCATCGTTCCCAAATATCTGAACTGTGCCACATTCACTGTAAAATAATACAAAAGGAATGTTTATTTCCAGTGTTCTCGACGGTGTTATTAGGCCTACATATGCAGACAGGATTTTTATTTTGTTATCCATTTCCACGACTCTGCGCTTCACGGCGACCGTTGCGCCGCCGGCTGCGAGGCGCAAACGAATTTTGCCGATGAATCAGCAGTAATTCTGTGTGAAACAATTTGAACCGTTCTCACGAAAGTCATTATGAATATTATGCTAGTGACGGACACGCCGTCACCTGAGAGATGGGGGCGACATTACAGCCACTTAATTTCTGTTCGTGAATTGCTGTATGGCAACATATTGTCACGTATTGGTTATGTCACGCGACAGATAACTTCACGTGGGTCTCGGATTTAGTGAATCTTTATTGTGGTTTGCTCTTACAATTATCACTTGCAATGTCACTTGACTTCTGGCCTAATACTTCAATTCTCAATATTCTAATACTCAATCTTCAATACGGGTCGTAAGCTCGGCTTATGTAGGTGTTCTGCGGACTGGATACCAGATATCGTTCCTCACTGTTTCGTTTCTACTGTCCGCTGTTACGTAACGGGCGCAACGAACTCTTTGTAGTTCATTTCTGGAGAGACGCGTTCGTTGCTTCTACATTGTCTACACAACGGCTTCCTGT